AAAAAAACAACAAAAACTGCAGCTCAACATTACCAATGCAACTTTTAAACGCGAACTTGGTTTAAACCTTTGTTTGATATTTGATTCTTAATGAAAGTTCTTGAATAAATTTTTGAATCTAATGCTACTGTTTTATCTGCTTAATCGTTTCAAGAAACTTGCGATACACGAGCTTCTCAGCACCTAATTCATGTGTTCAGGCTTCCGTGACTAGAAGCAGGGGATCACCAAAACCTCCAAGCAGGAACCTAGGTATGTTAAAATAAAAGAGGAAACAGAAATTGGTAAATCATAGTACGATAATGTCCCTAAGAATAGATCCAGTTGCCTCTCAAAGGACTCCTGGGAAGTCGCTTGGACTAGCTAGGCGGTCAGCGAATTCCAGCATTTGACAACTCCTAAGGAGTAGGAGTTGCGTCTACAAAACGTTCCACTATGTTGTGTCTGCAGTTTCTGGGTGTTACTACTTAGGTTAGTGTTGGAACTAAGCTTAAGTAGGTGTTTGAGAGAATGTTCAGGAGTGGTAAGCCATTAGGTCACCTTTAAGACGTCTATACTCTAATGGGTAGAGGTAAAGTGATTGGAGGCGCTCCTCATAAGGCGATTCGGTGCATATCTTCGTCATTTTCTTTGGAAACCTACAGGCTCGGGTCCTCTCACGACTTATTCTAGCCACCATGAGTTGTCAGGTCAGCTGATGGATGGACACGTATAACACATCCTAACCGTCTCTGCGTCCAATCTCATAGCTTCTTATTCAAATGTCATAAGCAAGTAATGCCTCAACCGACACCAATGGAACACGGGTAACTCAAAGGCACCCTGTATGGTACCTTACATTGGTCTACGCACTCACTTAGTGAGAATATTACTACAGTCCTGCTAAAAATCCCATTAACCTCCTACCTTCATCAAAACAAATATGTCTGTATTTGTTGCATATAGCAATTTTATTTTTCAGAAGATATAACAGTTAGAATTGAAGTAAAATGGCAATATACAGCAGATGCACGTGGTGCATGTCTCCATCGATTAACTGAAATAGAGAATACGAATATTAGTTTAACAGGCTTATTTAGAAAGACTAGTGTCTATCTTGAACTTACTGCGTGAGAAAGTTATACTAAAACTACGAATAATGTAGGAGTTTAGTCTCCCAGGGCGTACGAAACACTCAAACTGGAAGACAGTTGTCCAAAAATAATTCGAATATGAAGGTGAAAATTTGCAGGTACTTTTAATCGTAAGGGTGAACAAATTAGGTACCGGCTGACGTCATGCCGTAAAAAACACAAATGTGCGAGTGGTGAAACATGATCTGTAAGAAAGTGAGTTTAACAACTGTTAATTACCTTTTTACTCTCTGATCATGACCCTTTGGCTTCCTTTTATGGTCAAAACAGCAAACATACACTACACACTGATAGCAGATTTTCTGCTCTTCAATGTTAAGCTTGCTTTAACGCACTACGTAATATGTACAACCCCTCTATTACTGCTATATGACGTTTTTTATAACAAACCCCGTGCAATAAATTAGTAGTATCCGTGACTTCCTCTATGGTTGTCGGAGGTCTGAGTCCTTTCAAAAACAATACTGATATCCCCTACTACTGAGCAATCGGTATTAGTTTGACTCGTTGGCGGGATAGTGTTGTCCATAATACTGAAGAAAATTACAAACTAGAGATTATTTCCTTTCATTTTGCCGATAACATCATAAAGCACAGTTAGAAACGAACATGCGGACAGTTAGTCACAGGCGGCAGCAACAATTATTTTAGGTAAAGAACGAACTTCGGCTTCGGGTATGTAGGAAACAAGTCAGTACAAAACCGATTACCATGTAAAAAAATAAGACTAGCCAGCTTGGCTGAAGAAATACATTGACTTGAGTAGAAGCAGCAAAAACCCAAAAAACAATGCTGATTCCAAGTAAATTTCACACCAACATATAGAACATTACACTAACTGCGGCATTTTAGCACACTGAAACATTAAATTACATAGCTACACAAAAGAAATAGCTGAAAGAAGCACAGAACGAAGAAAGCAGACAGCCATTGCTTACAAAGATGGCGGATATAATAATTCCCGCCTCATTCTGATTGGTTGCTAAGCGGAAGGGCACATTTACGAAATTGAGTTGCGTTTAATTGCAGCCTCATTTAATGATAAATATACATACAGTGAAAGGTTGACAAGATAAATACAAATAATATTAAAAAACTATTTACTAAATAAGCTTGACAGTCATATCTCCACATTCTTCCCGCACTCTTCATCGTTGGGTTTTTCTCCACGTTAAATGTTGCACATCTATTTCCCTGACTACCTCGTATTCAGCTTTGATGGTTGTGTGGTTAGAGTCACTACAAATTTAATTGATCCTGTAATATTATTCTATCTGACATACTGTGTATATGCCTCCAAAGAGTAGAACAGATGGCTTTACTACGGTTGATAAGTGAGTCGCGTAAAGTAAAGAAGGATAAGATCGAGAATCGCAGTTGGTGGAACTCTATATTTTACAAATTCTGACATCGATAGAGCCTAATTTACTTGTACTCTTTATCTACTATCAGTGAGAATGTCATTTATCCTATCTATGAATTCATAATGGATATAAAAACTTTGCATTACTAATTTTAAACCCAGATGAGAAACCTGATCAAATACCTTACTTATATCTATGAATATTGCATCTAAAAGAATATTTGTATCTTTCACTATAGCCCAATCTCTTGCACTACGCAGACCTCTCAAGCATGATAGGCACTTACAGAAGCGCTGCTGTCCCCTGGACGAAAGATTATGCTTCTTCGTAAAGTTTAAAATTGCTAAATATATGATACCCTCCACTGTTTTGGCAACTACTATTGTTAGATCAATAGGACAATAGTTACTAAGTCTCTGCTTCTCGCCTTATAAAGCGAACTGATTATCATGTCCTTGTCAATAACTGGGGTAATCCACCCAAATGAATGGTAAAAGTTCCGCTGACGAAACGTTTCAAACAGACACTCGTTCCTTAAGAAAAGCATATCACAATAATTAACACGAGTTAGCAGGCCTACCGTCCTTACTATAGATTAAAATATAAAAGGAGAATATAATTATGTTAAGAGCTATCAAACTGGCTTCAACTGTTAAAACCAAAACAAATACAAATCAATCGACGTGTCTTTTGTCCTTCTAATTCAAAATAGCTATTCATAAGGTTTTAGTTAATATGCAACACTTCATCACTCTCATATTTGACTGTGACCTCGGGTTTATAGGCGCTTGGTACAAGATCCTGTTGGTAAAGTGGTATGTTGTTTTGATTTTAATTATCCTCATGTTTTGTCACACTTTCCTGCAATAATAATGTCTTTTGTTGATATTGCTATCAGGATTGAAACTGTGGCTAGGTGTGTATTCCAAAGTAACAACCTAAGCAGCGTTCCTTTAATGACTGGAAATACTCTGACCCACTTATGCTAGATCATCAACGAAACTGTTGGACCTAGTAAGATTAAAAACTAGGTTCAACGTCGCTAAACGCGTCTAAATTGCAGCACAAATTAAATTGTCGGTGGAAACTGGAATTAAACGGTGTGAACCGGAATCGATAGATTAATAGATTTTTAATTCAAGCACTTAGACACTCAGACTTTTCCACAGCGTTTTAGATGTTTCTAGTATGTTCGTGTTTTAGGTGTAGTAGACTGGAAACCTTAGGTCCAAGTTTCTTGTTAGCTTGCATTCATCACTGAGGCATGACTTATCTTAAGGAAATTGTTATTCTCTCTAGGATTTGATCAGTAGTTTGTTTGGCTCTGTACATTTAACGAATGTAGAGTTGGTCACGATGTCAGTTTACCAGGCCAGCCATGGCCAGAATATCTCAGTGGTTTTTAATAATGCTGAAAATGTCTCCTTACATCTCACTGCTATCTTAAACAACCCTACTCGTTGGTGGTGTGCATGTTTAAATAGCTTTTCATTGAACTGACTTTTCTAATCTAAGACTACCACAGTCTTCGCACCCTCAAGAATCATGATCAGGATGGCATACAGATTCCCACTGTTTTTCTGTTTTTTACTTCCCGAAGTATATCCGGTTAAAGAGTTAGTTTCTTATAGTAACTAATTTGTCTACTAAATAACCTGTTTTGTTACATACTAGAGCTAACTTAAAAATTTCGACATTCAGTATGGGGGGAATATATGTAATTACCACTTGCTATGTTATTTAATTATCTGATTAAATGTGTACACCCATTCAAATGATCAAACATTTATGTTTTGCTGCTAAAGCATTCATTTGTCTTACTCGATGTCATTATACATTGTAGTCAACGGGCAGTACGAAATACGTAGAAACGTAAGGAATCAGGCAATTGACATCAAAACGTAAAAAAATATTTGTACTACATTCCTGTGAGATTTCCCAGTTTGTTTATAAACTACGACTCATTAATCCAAACACTGAACTTTCAGCTGATTTTTTTTCAACTTAGAACTTTGTTTTTATTAGTTTGAGTGCATTAATACACAATAGATGTGGCTAACAGTCTACTAATTATTGTAGATTATATACATCTTGGTAGTACTTATCAGTTTTTTTATATCAGTTGGTCGAAAAAAATGTGGCTTATAAGTATTTATTTATGTTTTTTCCTTGCAGAAAATATCTCCACAGGGCGTTTCATAATTTGTCATGTAACGTGACGTTTAATTATTCACGTTATTTCTAATGGTTTCCGGTGTTTTCAGTGCTCTTTTTATATATTCATGTATTAAATTAATCCGCATAGAAGGAATCATCTGACAGTTTGACTATCGATTTTACACATTTCCCATGATGAGATATCAGTTTTTAACAAAAAAAATTTGCATCTCCTCATTGTCGTTTATTTAAACAACTTTTCGTATGAGCTTTTAGGACAATAATTATTTCAAATGCCTTAAATTTTTATTTGCAATACATCTTATATGAATAATAAATGTTATAAATGTCTGATAGCAACAACAACAATAACAGTTATAACGGCAAATATCCGCTTATTTCGTCTCCAACTATTCCCACTTCAGTCGGTTTAGGAATTACTATTCAACAACATGCATATTCTAATGTAATTAATAATGATCTAAACAACTGTACTGATAAGTCTAATTCCACTGTCATCTCATCTAGCACTAATGATATTGGTAGACTTTTATCATGTATAACTTCAAATGGAAATTGTTATCCTACATATACTTCTACTCATCCTACAATTCAAACACAATTTTCTAATGATGTAGAAAGTGAGATTTCTACTCATCACCAGCAGCAAAAACAAGAATCACCCGGTGGAAATAATTCATCTACAAATTTATGTGGTTTTAGAATTAAATGTGAAGCTGATAGTGGTTTTTCACCGATTGGGAATTTGTCTGGACAATCTGCGCCAATCTCTAAGTCATCGTACGAGATGATGTGTAACAGTAAATCGACCGCCACTAACTCTACGTTAGAATCTTTCTCAGGGAAAACTGAATCATTTGAGGAACATGAAATAGTTGATGATCAATTTATTGAAAATCGGAAACTTGTCGAAACGTGTGGATCTTTACGAGCTCATCCACAAAGCAATAAAACTAATAGTAATAATGATACAAATGAATCTATTTCATCTCAATCAACAAGATATATATCATGTTCATCAGTGGATCAACTTACACTACCTCAGACTAATTCAAGTAATCCTTTTCATTCAGATAATATTCTTAATCCAGGATGTAATAATCGTATATTGAACGATTCTCCCGTTCGTATTGTATCTCAGGGTCGACTAGATAATGATAACGCAAGTGTTAACTCTTCATCAGACTTTACAGCTGATGCGCTTACCTTCATTGATACATCATCAACATGTATAAATACATTTGATACAAATGAACGTATGCTTACAGGAACACCTGATTTTTCTTGTTTCTTTCCTAATACATTATGTGATCCGCTGACTAAACGTTTTACTTCTAATGGCCATACATCATGCGCTGGTTTTTCTGTAACTAATCAGGTCGATTCAAAGGTTCTAATAGGTCTCAGTCCTCTATCGAAATCGCATCGTTTATGTTATCCATATGATGCATATGAACCACTGAAAAGTGATTTCAAAGAACACTCAAATATAAATAACAATAACACTGTTGATAGAGCTCAACCGAATTCTTCACCGAATAGACTTAAAAATATACTAAACAATACATTATATGATCGTACTGGTAGTAACAATGGATCTAGTTCAGTTACAACGTCTATGACTTCTTGTAATAATGATGAAGCGGTGAACTTGATTACTGACTCTGATCAAAAGAGTTTTGTAAATTGTAACGAAGTTCAATTACCAGGATTCAGTAGTCCTGAATCAGCTTTTTATCAATATCAAAATAAAATGGAGGGGCAAAGATGTCAAGTATGTGGTGAGTTGGCAGCCGGCTTCCATCATGGAGCATATGTATGTGAAGCTTGCAAAGTAAGTCCGTATTCATTGTAATTGATATTTCTTCGATGTTATTCGTAATTTAGTGTCAGTTAAAGAAATCCTTTTTAAAAATCAATATATTTTATCTATGGATTAATTGTATACACATTTACAATGTAATAGCTTTGAACTTCATGATCTTATGGTCGATTATTGAATATCTAAAGTGTCAATGCCCAATTAATGGGGAAAGATTCTGTATATAACTCTTAAAAAGTTTCAATGAATAACTATCACATGTATCATAACGTATATTAGATTTTGAATATTCTATATTATTACTCTATTTGTCTTTTCGCTATTGTCTTTTCATTTGTGTATTTTATTATTCTCCTTCCTTGTTAGTGCTTTGTAATGTTCCTTGTTTTTGTGTATCTTCCATAAATATATGAAACGCATGATGCCCTCCTACTATGTACTAAACCTTCCATGTTATAAACCAAATAAACATTCTACTGTAGTTTATAGAAAACTGCATCCTAACAACTAAGAACAGGTTTGCTTGTGAACCTTTGGTGACTAGAAGTATTACTTGGTTGTCTAAACAGAAGTAATAGTAGTAGGTGGTTCGAACCAGTGGTTCTGTTATTTAACCAAAACACCACTCAGACAGAATACAAATAAGTAAATAATAAAATATCTTTCTGATAAATGTTCGATATTTTGGTTATCTAACATCATTTATAGGTTATCTGGTTATCGAAGTTATTTGGAATGTTTTGTTTTAAATTATATGGTAAATAATATTTTTTAGTTCTCTGCGTAACTTATATTTGGCAGTTCTTTCCACATAAACTGCAATCTTATTCAATAGAATCATGGCATTTTTCCAATGAGTCGAGCATATATTTTTACTTGTGTTAGCAGTAAAATGGTGTTTAGGCATCAGTGAAGACTATACATATTTACAAAGACTGATCAGTTTAATCTTGACACCATCGACACAAAACGTTTCAAGCTATAATAACACTTGATGACCGGCGTTTAAACCACTGGATTCTAGACTCCAGTTGTAATATAAAACATACACACTAGGAATGGTGTGAGATTCACGTAGTAAGAATTCACATCCCAATTTCCACTGGTACCACTAACAAGTGCAGCTAAAAGGGAACTACATACTTGGCTGATGAGATTTACAACTTTGTTTTGACTTCTTGTCAACACTACCCAGTTTATTGTCATAAATCCGAAGAAACTACCGGGTTGAATACAAATTAAAAACGTTCTCTTTTTATTCACCTATAATTTATATTGTGTAGTGGTAAGATATAGTATTGGTCTTAACCCCTACATATGTATATACATATAGATATATGCTGTTTAGGTTCACTTGTCTTCCAGGATAATGACCTATAAGTTGTAACAGATCCAGTACATTTCAGTTCGGCACGACAACAAAAGATCAAATGAATCGAAATAATAGTATTATCAATGATAGCAAAAGAAACTAAACATAGACAATATATTTTACGCATGTTTGGTACGTAGTTCGCGGTAGAATTCACGTTTTGTCTCGTTTGGCGCTCATCAGCTAGATGTACCTACATCCCAGTATTGTTGCCCACAATGGAACTCAAACTTGGTACCTTTCGCCTCATGTGCCTAACTCATTGTTCACTAAACCATTCAGATAGGACGAAGCATATGTCCCGGATTCCACTACCAGCCCATACTAGATATCCCAAAGTATGTGGCAATGCTATATTTAACCAATCCGTTCAGAGTACATATACAACAGAGACTGATCAATTGTAGTTGTGAATATTGATAACGGACAATCACAAACGCTCATTAGTAGACAATTAAGTTAAAAAACAACTAATAAAATCAAGGTATATAAGTATGAAACAATATTAAAACTCGTAATCTAGGGTAGATGATGGATGAATCCACCCAGAATAGGATTTAATTCGTTTCAGTTAAGATTTCCAACTGTATATTACGGCTATCACCCAGACCTTTACGGAGAAACTTAAATTCCCGATACTAATCAATTCAACAGTCACTGACTTCATGGGTTGAATTTTCGATTTGAAAATTTCCGCCCTTCATACACTAGCCATCATTATACGTCAAAGTACAATATCCATAGAGGATACTTAACATATATTACAACCAATTTTGGTGACGACAATCTATAACTCCATCTAATTTACCACTGTTGCCTAATTGTCTACCCATACTGAAGGATATTATACTAAGCAGTTGTGAACAGTGATTTAAACAGGTGACTAGATAGTTAAAAGTCAACTGTTCACGTAACAATTTAAGCCAGTATTTGCTGACACACACCATATAAAATACCTAACCTGAAAGATAAAATTTAAAGTAACCTGTTCACTAGGTACTTGCATATAAGCCACACTAATTGTGGGGGATATTGATACACCCAGATGTTAAAACTGAAGTATTTATGTATGAAATACTAGTAGGATATCTGAAAGCTAGTTAACAACTGAGTATATCACACATCAATCCATTTTGTTTTATACAATTGTGTACGGTACGAGTTTTTTTTATTCAAATAATAACCTAGTAAATAGATTTCTTTTCGATCATTGTTTTAAATCTGACACCTTAAAGCTCGGATAAATTGTGACCGATTTTTTGAGAATGTATAGAAATCTGTGAATATGCACTTTGTATCATTAGTTGGAACTAAAAGAAAATGTTTGAGCTTTCTTCATCTTCTTCTCAATTACCAGAAGCAGTACAAATTAATGAGCTATTAAAAATGAACATTTTTACTATAACTTTTTTTGCCTTATTGTGTTAATGTTTTGAGCTGCAACGAAGATTATACATCAATAAATTGATATAATTTATTCTTTTCACTGTAAATGATTTGATATTGTCTAGATAGGTGATTTTCTTGATCCAATAATGAGCTATTAATTACTAGACAGTTTATATTCGTAAATAGGATTTTTCTTCATTGACATCATAACTGTCGAATTGTAGTACAATTTCTAATTGTTTACATTCATGTAAGTGTATAAAGCTACACTTATCTTAACACCTATACCATTTTGTTAGAAAAATATTAGCTATTTTTGTTGTATTTGCTTCTTAGAAAAAGCTTTTTCTTTATAAAGTAAGAATACTTGACTAATTTAAGTTATTCTTACATCATTGACAATTTATCGTATGACTGTAATTTATGGACGACCTTTGAGCGACGACATGCTAAAGTGAAAGACTTAATTTCGTTGGTTCGTCCGTAAATTGTAGTTCTGCCAATGTTTTCCCTAATTTTCGTATTTTCAACGTATCACTTTTTACATTTTCCGGTGAATATTTCAAATTGATGAGGATGTTTTTTATTGTTGTAACTAGAACTTTTAATAGTAACTAAAGACTTCCCTTTCAAACGAATAAATTTAGTTTATTTGCAAAGCTCAGATTTTTGTACATAACTTTGAGCCATATATTTGTGTGAAGGTTGATTGTACTTCCTGTCTGCACAAGTTAAGCGGGGTTAAAATCTACGATTGATATCGGTTGGAAACTTTATGCCTAGACTATTAAGCCAATATTCTAACATCTTGAGTACTTTTCAATCCATTTCAATGGTAAACGGTTGGTGAATATACCCAAAATATTATTTCATGATGCACAATAGCATACAAATGTTAGTGTGAATCTCACAGTTGTTAGGAAACGGGTACTAGGTAAGGATGGCAAATCAATTGATGAAGTAGTGAAACTTCATCAGTTGAGATGGCTGGGACACGTGTTACGTATGCCCAACGACCGACTGCCTCGACGTGCGATGTTCAGTGGTATAGGAGTAGATTGGAAGAAAGCTAGGGGCGGCCAGACCAAAACATGGCACAAGTCCATGAAGTCACTGACAAGTGGTCTGAGTCATGTTGATAGGTATAGACTACCTGGTTGGGGACCGCGAGATGATAGCAACCGATGGTTAGAGACCCTGAATGACATGGCTCAAAATCGTTTGCAATGGCGCAGGTGCATCCACTCTGTGTTCTCCCAAATTCTAATCTTCTGAATTCTTCATGTCCCTTTTTTCCTCTTTCCAAATTTATTTCACTGAATTATACTCTTTAAATAACATCTCCAAACCCTAATCTTCCCGATCACTGCTTACACTCTTGCTACCTCTACCACTACGGGATTTGGATCGACAACTGCATCTCTGTGTTAAGGTGGTGTGGCAACTCGAACTGATGTACGTACGTACGAAGTTCTACGTTGTTACTGACTGACTGTGAATCTCACCAAAATGATTATTTAAAGTCTAATTTTCTGATGAGAAAGTTGATAGTTTTAGTCGCCCAATGTATTCATGTGGATCGTTAGTAACAGAAATTACTCGATTTAATTATTACTGAATTTAAATGAATTAGGGAATCAGATAATCTTTTATCTCTGTATTTATTACAGTAAGATGTTACATTGTTTTTCTCTAGTACTGACCGATTCATTTTATATTTCGTATTTACAGTTTGGGAATATCCCATTGTCTAATAAATGTACTATAGTTAAATTTGTGCATTACTGTTTATTAACCATTATCTTGATTTCCTGTATAATTTTTGTTAAATTTAAATGAACGTTTCAACTTCATTCTGTACAGTTAGGAAATAATAACTATCGGTATCGAAACCGAAATTCCAACTGTCATCTCTTTGAGCCAAAGATATGTATTGTCTATGCATTGATATCTGTTAATTACTTTTTCGAACTAGCAAACTGATATTGAACTAAGCTAATCATATATGTGATTCAAAGCCTGGTACATAAATCTAAGTACAACAGTTGCTTGTTATATTACCTGGCAGCACTAACAACAGCACATTACCTGGAAGTAGTTGAAATTCAAGTACCACTCATTACCAGTCTATTTCTGTTAAATTCTTTTTCACTTTTTATTCGTTTAAGTAACCTCTATGTATTTCTGATAAGTATCACCTCAGTGTATTACTGTCATGTTCAGTAGTACGCAACACGTGCATCTAAGATAAAAAACCGGAATATACAACAGGTTGTATTCTTTTTTATTCAATACCCATAAATTATGGACACCAAAAACTACCATGGGTCGCATAAATAAAAAAGATAACACTGTGAAGAAATAAAACAGGAAAATTTCGTCAGATTGTTAATTTTACAAACGGAGTCGCTTCTCAAATTTTAACCAAATCAATGTCTAAAGTTATCTTTTGAAATTATTCTCATAATTTTATTACCACGACGTGCAATGCTAACCGGTGTTGGAGATTGTTGGAAGAGAATTAGGGGCGGCCACACCAAAACGTGGCATTAGTCCTTGAACTCACTAACTTCTAGTCTGAGCCATGCTGGTAGATGCAGACTACTTGGTTGGGGTCCGCGTGAATATCGTAACTAATGGTTGGAGACTCTTGATGACATGGCTTAGAATCGATTACAATGGCGTCGGTGTATAAACCCTCTGTCTTCCCTTAAACTAAGCGATCAAAATCCCTTCATATCTTTCTTTCTACGAGCTAATTCTTTCTTCCTGCACTATATCTTTATTGCAATCTTTCTTTTATATATTACCACCTCTGAATTAACTACTTTTATGAATCCGGTGTCCATCTTGTTGTGTTAATGAGGTATGGCAACTTGGAACGATGCATATATGTGCCTGGTCCTACGTTATATATATATATATATATATATATATATATATATATATATATATATATATATATATATATATATATGACACGTGAAATATGCAATAGTAACATGGGAAAAGAAAACAGATCTGTTAATTTATCACTTAGTTATCTAAGCTTTGTGTCATAGACACAAAGTAATGTTCCACTTACTAATATTGAACTATCCAGCTAGATAAGCTAACGTCCACTTCATATATGCAGCTAGTGGATCAGGGTATTTTTTTGTGTTCAATCATCGTCTCCGAAAGACTACTCACATTCAATGCCAAATCGTTCAAATAATGCCGAAATCAGATAATTTATGTTTGGACTCAGTGACGATAGTTCGATTGGCGTCATCATCTCGAAACCCCGATTCTGGTACTTAGATTTATTGTTCTAATGTCAGTCCATTGTCTTCCACATTGCTCAGTTTGTTCAATGCTGGGACTTGGTAGAAAACTCAGAGAAGTGGTCAATTTATAACATAGCATTGTGGTATGAATGATATATACATAGGCTGATATTTGTAGTTCCATCACTACTCCTCGATTGAAGTCGTTGAGCTTTCCCTTCTCAGTGGCTTGAAACATTTTTTAACATGAGTGAGGCTAGAAGCATGGGGTATTATCCTTCGGTAGTTTTTTATCACAATCTTCATGAAGTGACTGAAATGAGTCTATGTTGGCTGTACTTTTACTGAAACCGTGTCTTTCAGAAAATAATATTATTGTTCATTTATTTTTGGAGTGTATGACTTCCCAGTTGGATGGAGCTGTGGTTTGGTGGTTAAGATATTCCTAATTTCGAACGTCGCTCCACCTACTTCAGTTTAGGCAGTCGGGTATTATTACTACCCCTCATATGGAGTGTGACTCATATCCAGGTACTTGGTGAGTGAGTTGATTTGAACACTTTTTTAACAGTTCCTTCCTGTGTTTGTTTCTTCACAAAATATAATCACATTATGTGGCGTACTTTTCGATGCCTCATCTACTAAAGTTCACATGCCCTACTAATCAATCAACACTCCTGTTTAATTGCCTTTTTAAAATTATTGTTGAGATGATTAATTTTTGTATCATTTTTAATCTGTGTACTCCTATTTTACTACCGTACCTTCTGATCACACACGTTATGTGGCGTGTTAGTCGTTCGTCTACTGCTGTTATCGTTGAAATTCCAAGTGTATACCACGGTCTCTATTCATTCTTAAGTACGTACAATAGTTTCTGTCGTTTTTTTAAAACTATCTAGTTTTGGAAGCTTATATCCGTTTGGGCTCTGTTGTACTTGTGTTTTAGCTCGTCTCCTTTGGTTTTTATATTCTTTCTGACTATTCATCCGTGATTAAATTGTTCTTTAAATATGATCATTAATTTAATTATTTCATAACCGCCCTAGAAATGTGTCGTTTAGTCTCTTTACGGATTAATCCGAATTTACTTCGTTTCTGTGCACCGTTTTGGTTTTTTCATATCATTTTTTTCATTAAAAGTACTTATAACCTCCCTCCACCAAGTGTGAAAGATTTTATCTCGTTTACTAATTACAACTTATTCAATAATTGCTGTTATCTCTACAAATTTGTCTGTATCGCTAATTGGTCTGAAATTATTTATTTTGTGCTTATAGGTAAATAAAGTGGCAAAGTAAAATACATACGCCAGAAAACTCATGTTACGTCTCGCTACCTTTGAAAACTCTTGTTTTCTGTTCAAGTTTAGCTTATCTTCACTACTAGACAAAATAATTAATGTCGAGTCATATTTTTCTAGTGATCATTCTTCGAAAAACTCATATTTTTTATGATTTTATTTCTACGGACACAATCAAATAATTAATCACTGCCTCAATTTCATCCTACTACTTATTTGTCTTAATTTAAGCAATTAAGTGTAATAATGATAGCCTTTCAGATTGGCATAAAATGGCGGTTTTATGCTTAACTTTCATAGTTTACATCATAAACTAACCTTAGTTCGATGACTGTTGGGCACCTGGGAGCATTAGGTAGCTGTTTCGTTCTGATACGGGCCTCCACAGGGAGTGCACATCCACAACCCCACCCGGGATCGGACTCTAAGCATTCATATTTCGATGAGTGGTTAACTTTTAAGCCACCGAATTAGGATCCAACGGCTTACATCTATTACCCATTCGTAAGTAACTGAGCCACACTCGATATAGCCGAACTGTACTGGCCATCAGTCGTCGCTGAAACTCCGGGAAGCACCTCTCAAAATTTGTTACCAGTAACTACTTGATTGTTCTTCGTATGAGGGATTTGTGAGTGTTGTTAAGTTCCATAACTTACGTCATGAATTGTCCTTAGACAACCATTGGGTTATAATATGTTCTAACAAGTAGTAAAACTGACATTTTTATGCATAAAATATGTAATTCTAGGCCAAATCCACCAGGCTATTCACTCAGTTACTAATTTACAGTAGGGAGTTGTATTGTATCATCGGAGTAGGTAGTAGCAAAAGTAGAATTGGGTCCAATAAGTGAGACGCGTAGTTTAATCAGTCTAAGCAATTCAGTAATAGTATTACTAGACCTCATGCTTATGATTTTAAGCGAAATATGCTAATCTGTACCTAATAATTGAATTAATAAAAAATCTTCACTTGTAAGCTGGATATCTACAGTGATAGCTGTTTTTTATCTGTTGTAAAAATACACTAAAATTCATTAATGTTCTTTTCTGTTTGATTTTAAGCTAATAAATCATAATTTTTAATTTACTTTGAGATATACTAGTGAATAGGGTTTTAATGTCTGTATAATTTTATCCAAGCATACTTTTCTATTTTTAGTTTTTTTACGTTTCTTACCACTACTTCCTGCTTGATTTTTTCTTAATCTCTCTTCATTTAACAATGCTCTCTTGTTATCAACTTACCTTCCGATTTTTTTTATTATTTCTCCAAGGTTGCATCACAGAATTATTCAGATTAATCAGTCACCTTCCACTTGATCTATATCAATTGAAACATGACCGAATTTAGAAACCGCGCATATCATCAACCATATTTAAAAACATTTTCACCATATTTAATTTCACCAACGTACTTATCTCTTGTAAAAGTGTGACTTCCAGTTCTTTTATTCTCATTCTTCATTCAGCTTACCTTGTACTATCTAACCACTTCGATTCTGTGGAGGCTTTTCTCTTTACACCACTTCATTATCAGTCTAATTTTTGATTAACATTACTTCCCCTAACTTCATGCTTAAGTCTAAGATGAGTATGCCAGTGGAGAGATAGATTTTTTCCACCAAAGCAAAAATTCTATCTCCTCCATCAGGTTATAAATATGAATATTCTGTTGCCAAACTTGAAATGTTTCAAAACTATGACACTTGGTCATTGGTTGGTTGGTGGTTAAAATTAAAAACAATCTCTCAGTTTTAAATAGACATGTACTTCATCATCAGTAAATATTTCTTGTGGTAATTCATTTTCTGTAGAAAGCCGTTATCATTATTTGCTTAACTCATCAATTAACTATAGCAATTCGGTAATCTTTTGTTTGCTTTACCTTTTTCTTTAATCCCGTAGAAATTTTTCATGCGTCATTCGATGGCTGATACAAAACCGACAAATGTCTGTCCAACTGGTGGCAACTGTATAGTGGCTAAAGGTAGTCGTGGGAAATGTCAAATTTGTCGTTATCGTAAATGTTTACTTGTTGGGATGAAAATGAAAGGTGGGTTTTCTATGTAGAGAGAGAGAAATAAATAAGAATTTTATAAATTAATGTCATTCTTTAAATTGTGCTAATCATAACTGCCTTTGTTCAGGCACATTCCGGATGTTTTTCTTCAAACTCTACTTAGTTATAAAAGTTGACTGAATCAGTCAGTCTTAATCAAATTAGAGCCTGGCATCAAGGATGTGTATGTTAGCCTAAGTCACCGCATCACATCAACTTGACGAAGTGAATAATGAAGCTGACTAAATCATTGTAATTTATAGTTTATTTTACTAACTCAGTTGATTCAATGAACGTGCCTGTGATGATAACACATCATATAATATGGTTCCTAACTAGTCACTGTGCCATAGACGTCTTCATTTGTTAGGCAATGAGTTTAAATAATATTTTATGTTTTCATTTAAGTAATTTCTTTTTATTCGTACCCCATGTTCTCCAAGTTTATTTCTGTATTATTTCAATTCATGTACTCATTCTCACGTTAGTATCGTTTTGCTGTGCTAATCTAATATAGCAAATTGCACTGATTCACATTTATGGTAGGTCCTACATTTATTACGATTCACTAATTGTCTTGCTAACCGTCACTATAAAATGTTAATTACCCGGCGTTTTATTAAAGCTCTGGCTTACTGACTAAGGCGTTCAACAATCGGCCGCTATTTATTTATTCTTTTGAACACATAAATATTGGTACAAGAGGGCACCAAATATATATGCGCCACACAAAGCAATGAGAATGGGAAGAGAAAAAAAAGAAGGTAAGGAACGTGAAAGAAAAAAGAAGAACAATAACGACCAGATTAGTGTAAGGTAGTGTAGTAATGATAATAATAATAATAATAATAATGGGCGAAACGGAAAGGTACAACCAGAAGAAATCTTTCAGTTAAGGAAGATACAACCGCTTTTTATGAAGAAAGTAAAAGAAGGTTACAGCAGGATCGCCACTGGCTTCTATTCTGAGCCATATATGATAACGTCTTAAACCACTGTGTTGCACCATCTCTCGGACCCCAGCCAGGGAGTCGTGAAGGACCAACAGAAGCCAGCCTTCGCAGCTTTCTTTCTTACCCCGACACCATGTCATGCACCGACCACCTCTCCGCCTTTTCCAACTGGTTCCGGCGTCGGCAAATAATGCACGACGTGGAATTCTCTGGGACGACATTTGTAGAACATGTCCAAGCCACCGAAGTCGGTGTTTCAAGATGGCGACACCAATTGAATTATCATCACTGTGCCCAAACACACGATGCCGAACCTCTGCATTACTGACATGGTGTTGCCACTGAATGTCAGCAATCCTTCGGAGACAACGATGATCGAACATAGAGAGTCGTCTAACATCCTCAACTCGGAAAGACCAGGTTTCACAAGCATAGAGCAAAACTGTTCTCACCGACGCGTTGTAGATTCGACCTTTTACAGCCAGACTAACATCGCGAAAGCGCCAAAGGTGGCCCAGATTGGCATAAGCCGCTCTGGCTTTCACTATACGTGCATTGATCTCATCACTCACGCCACCATCAGCACTTGTGTAGCTTACTAGTATAGGGGTTGTGGAGATTATTAAGTTTTTGATTGAGATCATGAACCGATTGATGTTAGACCATCACAATTGAAAACCTTGAAGCACTGGACTATTGCCATTGGATGCCGGCTCAGTGATCCAGTTGGTTAAGCGTTCGCGCGCGAGGCCGAAGGCCCCGAGTTCGAATCCCGCGAGCGGGATCGTGGATGCACACTGCTGAGGAGTCCCACAATAGGATGAAACGGCCGTCCAGTGCTTCCAGGTTTCCAATTGTGATGGTCTAACATCACTCGGTTTATGATCTCAATCAAAAACTTATGTAGCTACCTAGATACACGAACTTCTCGACTACGTCTATCTGCTCACTATCCAGGGTGAGTACAGGATTAGAATCGTGCCAGTCTTGTAGAAGTACTTTGCACTTCGAAATTTCAAAGCACATACCGTACCTACGTACATTGATTGCCAACTGATTAAGTGTGGATTGCATGGCTTGGGCATTATCACACAGTGAGACAATATCATCCTCATACTTAAGATCGAGAAGTTTTTCTCCAGGCAACAGATCCACACCGCCATTACTTACATCCATCAGGGTTGTATCCAGAATTTCATCGATGGCAAAGTTAATGAGGAATGGTGAGATTGGGCAACCCTGCCTAACCTCACTGCTCGAATAGAACAATGAAGAAAGGTGGTTGTATGTCCTCACTCTGCCTGAGGTGTTTGTATATAGGGCCTTTAAGATGTTAATAAACTTCTCAGGCACACCCTTCTTCAATAGACAATCCCAGAGAACTGTCCTGTCCAACGAATCAGCCACTAGGTATCAGGTCCAAGTCCCATTGTAGCCGCTTCGGTTTAGGCGACCAGATTATAGTACACACAAGATGACTGAAAGCGTACTACAATGATTTTGTACTTAGTAAGTGATTTGCATTAATTATTAGTAAGACTCAACCATATTTTTAAAAAAATGCTAACTGGTATGTTCATTATAGAAACAAAGCAAATATATTATGAGGTTTATTTATTTTCAAATTAATCAACTCCTTTAAATATTCACCTATCAGTGACAGGATTTAAAAAATAAATCTTTTTAAGTTCGTAGCTGAAAATCAAATGGTTTTCGGGTTTGTGATATTTACTTTGAATCATCAACATGTTTATACAGTTAGTTAATAGTCAGGTTGAGCAAATGTCAAACCTAACAGTTGTGTAAAAATCTCTTTAGAGGTTAGAAGTACACATCATTAGATAGTTGTTTTCAGGAAATTTTTCTTCATAGTTGTTATCTGTTCATGGCGAAAATTGTCATCAAATCATCGCAGTTAGTTTAAATCTAATTTTGCCACTCCTAATCGCATTTCGAATAATGTCGGAATTCGATCAGCACTGAGTACCGTAGACAACATAATATTGGTTACTCATTGTGATCCCCCCTTCTTTGTTTTGAATGATGCTTTGATGATTCTGGATCCGTGAGATTCCCATCCTACAAGCGCATTTCGTGCTGCTTTTGACAGCATTAGAGCAACTCCCTGAGTGTGTGGAACATTTTCCCATTCGTGGCCGGAGTATAGCAGCATCTCTCCCGTGTTTAGCCCTTGTTGTCCAGCTTGGGTCCAATGGGTTTCGCTGATTCCCAGTACTGCCAAGTTGTATCTCCTCATTTCCGTTGCTATTTGACTGGTCTTCCCGGTCTCCCACATTGTTCGGACGTTCCATGTACCTATAAAAATTGTTTCTCTGGTTGTTAGAAGGGGCATCGGACTCGTGGCTTTTGAAGGAACTCAGCTTTCACAATGAGGTGTCATAGTTCTTCTAAATGAAGACCTAACTCCCAGGGCAGAGTTTAAATGGTTTGAATTATTTTTTCTGGTTAGTGTTTTTTCAGCGATTTAGTTTTCTACGGGATGGGGTCGCTAGCCCCGTGCCCAACCCTCCTCTTTTACCCGGGCTTAGGACCGGCAGTAACTCTGGAAGAGCTACAGGCGGAGTTTTATTTTGTAATACCCATAGGAAATTCGTTCTTATATGTATTTTTCTATTTAAAAAAATTCTCTGTATTTTTTGTCTGCTTTAGGGTGTAGTAGAGGCTGTAATCCTGAATAGTTTATTTATAAAACTGCTCAACATTTACGTATTACAATTTATAAATGATTCAAATCAATTGATGTTTCATTTTGTCTCTCTCACACACTACTTTAAATGTGACCAACATCACTCAGCGTCTTCCTTATTATCATTATTGTCCGATTCGTTTTACCTTGATTGATGGGTTAGTGTTGTGTTTTTTGTGCATATTAATAGTACTCATTATGATTGTTATTGTTTTCAAATCAATAATTGTTTTAGTCAGTGTGAATGCCAAATTCGACATTGATTTTTGAATATCTTAGGTTGGCAGTTACAGTTTGTTTGTGTACGTTTAGTTTGTATATACATACACGTAAATGTGACGCATACACGTTATATATCTATCGATTGTTGTTCATGTAGTTTTCGTAACTAATTTTGTTCTTTCTGAGCAGATACTTACATACACATACAAACTGACTCATTCAGTTACTCTCAACTTCTTTCAGCTGTGTTACTGTTACCAGTCACTATACAATGGTGGTTCTGTATAGGATTACTCTACTTATACGGTCCTATGTCTTTCATTCGATCTAATTTGTTTTACTGAAATTCATTAGACACCTGGATATTTTTAATTTATAAGGTATATGTGTGAATTGTTAGATTCCAACTAGGTAGTCTGAAGATAATACTCTCGCATTGATGCATAAGTCTGCATAGATATGGGTTGTACACTCTCAATGATTCCTGCACTAAAACGAGATAATCGGCTATTTCTCCTTGATTTCTAATAAATTGTTTAGCCAAAGTTGGGTACCGAAGACAAATACTTATGCTATGAACAATTTTGATCGTCTATTGACTTATTGGATTATTACATTGATATGAAATGAACGCAGGAATCGATTAACACCATGATTTCTGTTTCTATACAAAGAACTACACAGTACATGAAGTTGATTATTATCAGACATATTAAAATATGGGGAGTTTTAGACAGCTGTTTCGTTTTAGTATAGAGTTCCTCCTGTAATGAGCCATTATTGTGGCATTCTTCCTAGGAGATGTACATATTATAATGTTCAATTTCAATCTTGAATATCAACAACATGAAAATTCAAACCCTAACCCTTGAGAACCGTTATAATCAATCATATAGTTCGATCCTTTCCCGAATTCCTATCTATAACTACTTAATCGTTTGTTGTTTACAATTAAATATATTGTACCCGATTTTTTCCACTCATCGTATATTCGATTACGATATGTGTGACAATTTAACACTAGAGTTATCTACCGAGAATGGCTTTATTTCCATTCTTGTCTTACATCACATCAAGCCATCTTATTCGGCATAATCACATTTTTCTCTCTG